CTTCGACACGCCCGTAAAGTAGGTGAGTTGGCGCCTCTCACCAAACATGGCTCAGCAACATACGACCAGCGTAGTGGGCCTATAAGTGTCCACGACCGGAACATCGCCATTGGTTGTACGGAGCAAACAAGTGAACGACCATATTTGGCCATTTAGTCATCCTGTATATTACGCAGACGCTCTGTATGTTTTGTCCTGGCAATACAGCCATGTCCCCTGTTCTCTGTCTTCTCCTTATCGCGTAGTCTGGCAGGCTCAGTGCAGGCGTAACCATAGACGGCCACCCACGATACAACAAATTGCCAGGCGAATACAGGTTGCCAGTGGACTTCTTATTTCCGATTGGAAGAGGAGCTGCTCAGTGAAGACAATCGCATGGAGGCACGATTGCTACTGAGGGCGCGATCGGGTCATGTCTGAAAATGTCTCTAAATGTCGATGGAGTCCGCATCGATGGGGGTGGCAATGACCAGCACAGCTCAGTTTGCTGACAAAGCCTTTCACACTTCGCTGCCAAATCATTGTTTAACCCCCCTTGGCTTGTTTCCATCCATCGCGTGCTTGTGCGAAAAGAGCCCTCCGATCTATTTCTCATCTGTGTCGTAACCCTTAAATCCAACATTGAAGATAGGCGTCAAATTGAGCCAGTACAGTGGTTGTCGGCTCTAATACCCGCATACTGTGTGATGACTACAAGGGGGAACTGAGTATGACCAGTTCATCTATTGTGGGCGAGGTATCTCCTCCCAAAAAACCATTCGACGTACTTCAGCATTACTGATCCCATGTTCCCGCCAGACTCGGGCGATTCCCCGAATACATCGATGCTCAAGCACATCCTGACGTCTTCGGAGCACAACGTCCAAGATTCTGACCAGTATACTAATATGAAGAGCGCCGCAGCATTGTAATTCAACCCTTGTCGGACAAGCTGATGTCACGCCTATGCCACAGGTGATGCAGGTTCACGAAAGCTTCTCTGACCCAACCAACCCGGATGGACACATCGTCCTTGGATAGACCACCGAGATTCATACAGCTGCCCAGATAGATGACGATTTAGTCTGCTACCTCAAACGACTCATCCTGAAGCATAAGGTTAGGGTTCGAACCAACCAAATTGTGTACCACCGCTTTAGACTTTGCAGGTGTGAAGCACATACCAACCCGTGAGGTAGAATTACTCAACGTTATCTGCATTGGGTCAAATAGGACGTCGCAGTGATCATTCTCCTCACATCCTATGAACGTATTCACTTCGGATCTCTTCGAGATAAGCCCCGCCACTAGTGCAAAAAGTTAAGCCCCACCACTTCTTTCCAGCTCCAATTTAGTGTACACATACAACCTTGACCTGTTTTTGATGAAAGCAATTCCTTATCCGCACCTAGGCTCATTTGGTGCAAAAATTTTCTCTGTTCGGACGTAAAAACTTAAATGAACTTTCTGACGCTTTCAACTCTCGTGTTCATGACAAGAAGACGGCAATGTGTTTTTTTTGCAAAACCACGGAGTGATTCATCAGCGAAGTTTATGCAACAATGGCCACCAAGTGACACTTTCAACTGTTTCTGACAGGTGGAGGGGTCATGCACAACAGTGTCGGCAAGAAATCGGTCTTCGAAAAGGAACTTGGCTGGAACGGTCTAGGATGGAGTTTAGGACAGTACTTTTATTCATTTATTGCTGGTCCAAAAATTTGGCAAAAATCAAATTCTGCTCAGAGGAATTATCTATTAGCCACACGACCGCTGTTGACTGTTGATTCATGAAACGGTCAATCATACTGAAAATTTTGTGGATCCAACGACTAGAGCTCACAAAAACCATCGAATCTGTTTGACACGTCTACAAGATGCAAAATAAACGTCAATACGGCACACACCGAAAAACGGACCTTTTGATGCAAATTATTAATGACATATCCCAAATTCACCTTCTTCAATAAAGACTAAAAGTATAAATTTCATATCCTATTTTTCCTAATCTTTTTTTCGGGTGACGGGGCTTAATTTTTTGCTGGGCTTATCTGAAAAAGATCCTTCACCCTCCCCCCCTAAAAAGGGCATCTTGAGTGATGCAGGGACAATCTTGATGATGCCTACTTACTCTACCATTGCTACTAGGGGATTCTGGTGTTTGGTTCTTCACCAAAATAGTGTTTGAAAGTGGGAAGACTCGTGAGCCCCGAAAAGCGATTTCATCTTAAGAACGAAACGAATCTTAAGCGAAACTTCAAAATGATCGATTGCTCTGGAACGGAACACTTATATCCACAAGAGCTCACCTTGGCTTGTTCGACAAAACGCTGTCGTTGTATCACCGGGTCGTTCAGTTCGGTGTAGGCGTTGCAAATTTCCTTGCGCAGGATGAACAATTCAAAGCGTTCTGTTAGACCAGGCCTGGAACGATGCCACTTGGCCAAGGGACTCATCACAGTCGGGTGGCAAGTGAGAAATGTGGGACTGATGCAGTCGGGTTCCAGGAATTCACCGGCAAGCTAAGGGGGAAGCAGGGGAAAACAACACCAGGAAGTGACCACTTGATCTAATAATAAAATAAAAATGAATCAGCTATAGCACCATTTCGGTGCCTAGATGCCATGTCACCCGAAGGAAGCACGAGAGTCGAAATACTGTCAGGTTGCCCAAGTCTGTACAGCCTGCGCTCGGGTGTGAACCAAGGACCTTCAGGTCAGCAGGTTCGCGCCTCAACCACTGAGCCAACACGAGCTCATTTGACCAAATAGAGTCGATGAAGTGCGAAAAGCATGGGTGTGTTGTACTCATGCATGAGTAATGGGCAATAAATCACGTGGCTATGCCAACAAACAGAGCCACAGCATGTCTGACGGAGTCCCACCTATGGATAATTTGAATCAAAATGATTATTAAACGTTAAGACTTGGTCGGAATTAGCCAGTTCCTCTGTATAGTGCCCACTGATGTCGTCTAGGGAAGTACTATCGTGCCGTGCCGGCCTTACACTGATCGACAACCACGTTTCAAGCCCTTTGTTCTGAAGAACAAGACACTGTGACACGCACCGACGAAAAAATTTTGGTCCACCGTAGAGTGCTTCCTCCGGCAGACCATTCCCGAAGAGTAACTCGAAAATGAGTGTAAAAAAGGGTCGACCTAATGAATAATTCGCGTTATTCACCTTCCACAAAAACAGCCCGGTTACTCAGCTTGGAAAGCAATATTGCGCACACGCCACTAAGCCTTGGCTTCTCAGAAAAACCAGGGTTCTGGATGCAAACAGTGCCACTAGCGATACTGAGTCAATATCGAAGACCAAGTTAGAGTAGAGCTCCAACGGCCCGACTAAGTGTATGTAGAGCTTTTCAAAAGCTTTCCTACAAATGGCTACGTCAAACATGGGTGTTTCCATAAAACTGCGTTGAAAAGTTTCTTCCACCTAGGTAGATGGTCAGCATAGAAAACACCAGGTGAAAAAAATCCGGTTCTAGGAAAAACAGCGAATATCTGGTCTATGGTGAATCTACTGCATCAGACAACCTGTTTCGAGACATCACTTTGTTGTATGGACGTAACACATTACTGTGGGCTATGGAAGGGATTTCAGCGACTTTATGAGTAGTGTGTTACATCTAAACGGCAGAGAACCTCCATTTGTTTGCTTCGATTGAATGAAGCGGTGAAAAATTCGCCAGTTATTCTCAATTTTGACCCGGAATATCCTATCGATGGTCTCCAAGGGGCTCAGCTGAAGCTTTAATTTATATCTATATAAGAGTGCTCACTTTAACGGGAAAAATAAACTGGGAAAACGACGTTCTATCAGTGGTGTGCTAAACCAAGTCACGTGATTCTCCTTGCGAGTGGTTAGGGCACGTAACCCTGGGGAACTTGCTATCATTCCTTAGCCAGACAGCCTATCTAAGGTTTGTCTTTTGTTGTGTGCGGAGTGGGGCTCGCGACGGAAATCCTGCTGATGGCATGCTGATCCAACATAATGACCAGGTGCGTTTATTCCTTTGGTTTTAGATGTATGCTATGCCTTTCCTGGTCATTTTCTCTGGGGAAATGGAGACTTTTGAAATAAGCTTTCAGGGCTCGCCTTTCCTTTTTTACCTTTTATTAGGGCCCTCTACGTCCACCACTGAGTGCCAGTTAAGCCTCATTATACACTGAAGGGGTGTAGTCGACCCTGAAGAGAATAATGACTTCCAGCCAATGCAACCAAAATCGGTAGGCGGTTGCATAAGTCAGTAAACAAGAGATTAAGATGCGGTTTCTCGTCATCATTATATTTAAAGCCCTAAAGTGAAGAGAAAAAAGAATGGGTGAGGGAGGGGACCTAGTGCTGGCCTAGGTCAAGCATACGGAGGTGCCTACACCCCCAACCGCTCAATCAGACAATCTGGAAAGAAACTGACAGCACAAATGCCACTGACATCGATTGGCCGCCATTTCTCCAGCCAAGCACAAACGGGGTCACGGGGACCCCATACTGGAAGGCGCACAACACCAAGCTGATGTTAACGGGAGACTCAAATAAATGATAGTTGGATCCTCTTTTCACGATTTACTCCAAGTATATTATGGAAATCCACGAAATACGTCTACCCGACCACTCTCAAGAGCGAATTCGGCAGTGGACTGTCTAAGTTTTCAGAAACCTTATCGTTAGCGAGTGCCATGTTCATACAAAAGGATATTATGATCTTTCAGATGCAACCACTACACAATCGACGGTGGTTCCAAAGATGTTTTGGTCGCAAATGAAAACCTGCTGTGGTAATGATGAAGAGATGAATTTTTCAGTACTCCCGTTGTTGAAGGGCTCGGAAGGTTCCCTCCCGGAAGAAATCAAAGCAGAAAAAGGAACAGAAACGAAAAACGTCCTGCGCAAAAAGATTTTAGGACAAACGTGGACAAAAGACAGCTAACCATGCAACGACAATAACAGTTTGCAGAACGCAGACCCATCGATTGAACAAATTGTTCTACTCAAAACTGCATTGGGTAAATGGATCAACACAGGGTTTCTTCTGGCAAAGATAAAACGAATGAACAGAGAAGGGGAAAACTCTGTCTCTCTACCAAAAGGCTCACCTTGTCTAAAAGTCTGGCGGTAGTTTTTGGTTCAGGGCATTCCACGTTGTGGTCAGCTGCGAGTTTAATGAAGAACTGATTAACTTCGTCCGTTTCCAACAACTCTGGAGAGGGCAGTTTCACACCCAGCTTCTGTGCCAGACTATCATAGATATTCATCCGTTTAAACGGAGGGGTGAAGTCGACGGTTAGCGGTTCTGAGTCACCTCCATCGGGATTGTATGTGACAATATACGTGCCGAACAAGTGTTTGACAAGACCTGAAAACAAAAGACTGGGCAATGTAGCGACACATTGTTTCGAGCTCCAACTTAGGGCAGAACATGATTGAGTTTTTGACGAAACGGTTCTGGGAGAGAGGATAATGGAGATGGGTCAGTCGTTGTACTCCATCTCTGAAATGTAAACAATCTACTCACCCAAAACTGGGAGAATACAGCGAGGCCATCAGACCCAGAGGTTCGATCAGAAAGAATAAATATTGGTGAATAAAATGAAGAACCGAGTGGGAAACAGCCTGAGGGAGATGCACGATTTATCCTGACACTTGTTGGGCGGATGAGGGGCGAGATGGCTGAGGCAGAAGGTCCGTGATTCGACCTCTGCCCCTCGACTTCCCCTGTCTAGGCTTGGGCAGCCTGGCAGTATCCCAGCCCTCGTGCTTCCTTCTGGTGGCTTGGCAAATAGGCACCGGAAGGGTGCTACTGCCGAACGATTTTCGTTTACAACCAGGGTGATTGTGACAATGAATGAGCGTCTGGGAAATAAGGGTTCAGTTCAGACGGGTTGCATCCCTTGGCAATGGTACGGACAACTGAATGAAACCAACTGCTCACCAGGGAAAAATTCACCAAAAAACAGACTTCTGATGTTCCCGTGTGTGAACTTGTGCTAACGCCGAATCGGACATCCTCGACAACTAAAGTACTACTGAAAAACATCTTACCGGACAGCAAGTCCTCAGTGACTTTCATGAGATCTTCGTAGTCCGCGTATGCCATGTAGAACTCGCACATGGAGAATTCTGGGTTATGTGTCATATCGATACCCTCGTTACGAAACACACGTCCTATTTCGTAAACTCGATTGAAGCCACCGACAACGAGCATCTTGAGGTACAGCTCCGGAGCTACACGCATGTACAGGCTCATGTTGAGATCATTGTGGTAAGTGATGAATGGTTTGGCCGCAGCACCGCCGGGGATCATGTTCATCATTGGGGTTTCCACCTGTTTGACAGCAAAAAGAAATCAGAACTGGCGGTGGTGGGGTATGACCAGGTGAGTATAGATACTATTGGAAAGTGAATTGCCCGACAGACCCAAATGTCTGGGCCCATCGGACTATGCTGACCCTAAGTACCCATTCCGAGTAGATGACAGTACAATATTCCATAGCTAAGAAACCTTCAAAGGGACAACACCGACGAGACACAAAACATAGCGTCTAAAATCGGAGAGGGACCCCACAACGGAATGGCTCTATGTCAGTGGTGCATATTAATCGGTCGATAGTTCGTGACATAAGCTGATACACTGTCTCGCCACGGTAGTGGGCTCCTATAGAGGAAAATGTCAGTAGCTCATGTATTGAATCCGCTGTCTATTTCTGTGGAAGGCGTCCATGTACGTGTCTCCGGCCCAAACATATGTCAGTCCAGTCAAAAAGAGCCCACTACGTGGTCGTTGGCTTGTTCGCTGAGCTGGGCAATTTGATTGCAAACGTTTCATCACCAATCGAGGTGACGTCATCGCCCCAATTGGTGATGAAACGTTTGCAATCAAATTGCCCAGCTCAGCGAACAAGCCAACGACCACGTAGTGGGCTCTTTTTGACTGGACTGACATATGTTTGGGCCGGAGACACGTACATGGACGCCTTCCACAGAAATAGACAGCGGATTCAATACAAACTGGAGATAATGAAGCCGGTATACAGGGAAGAGTAATGCACGACACCTAGAGCATGACTGCATCCCAAAAAACCACTACTGATCCGCCGGTTACGTCAGAATGCATCTCCGAAATAGACCATCTTATCGAGGGGTACATATCTAAATTTAGCTAGATGGCACAAAAATTACCCGTCCATAATGAGCAAGGTATCGGCGGATGATCATCATCCGGACTCATAACGTGCCCGAGGTGAGCTCGAGATAGTCCAGTTCTTAAAGCGCTAACTTAGTGCCTGATTTTGAACCGTGGAGCTAGTGTCTGAAAGCTCCGCGGTTCAAAATCTCAACCTTGACATCTCAACTGTTCCAGTCTAGAATGTGGCAGCCTGGCAGTTTCTCATATCTCGTGCTTCTTTCGGGTGCCATGGCATCTATATGCCGAAAGATTAATCTTTTCACAATGTACTAACTCCAGCAAAAACAGATGACCGCCGGCTTATTTCCTGTTATGATCGAAAAGGTTGTAAAAACTGAGTCCCGCGCAGCTCAAAACGTACCTACTACGCGCAGGGGGGCACTGGTGATCAGACAAATTTCCCTTACACCGGCTTCCAAAATCCAGTAGGTCAGAATTGCCAGTCGCTGGCTTCATTAAAATTCCCCAACAGAGAGCCATCCGTCTGGTAAGGACTGTCTCCATTGAGCTAAGGGCCCAGGGACAAAGAAAAGGCATAAACGAAGAAGAGTAGATACCCGAAACCTGAGAGGACAAGGAAGCAACAGAAGCAAGGAGTACACCATGACCGGGATAAAAACCAGTGCCAACACTGATGCACCACCGCTGCACAACCAAAATTAAATTGTCTTACAAGGCCTACATTGGAAGGGATAAAAAATATAGGCAGGGAGAAACCTGGTGCCAGTCCAATGCATTCACTTCCAAGCAGTTACGTTCGTAGATCATTATCATCAGCTGTAACAACCTCTACTTGTCGTAGTGTTCATAGCTGCCGCAGTTTCGTTCAGCGAAGGATGCTGTGCATTGGAGGAGGTAATCGATATAATACAAGGTTGACAATGGCCTATTCGCTTCGGATCGGGAGGGAAGCTGAACATTGAAAACAGTTGCTTGGATGTACGAGCACCACTGAGGACACGACTGGGTCATGTCTGACAATGTATATGAACATCAATGTGTCCCGTCTCGAGGCCGCCATCCACGGGGATGGCAGTAAGCAGCACAGCTGAGTTCGCTGGTAATGGCTTTCACACTTCGCTATCAAGTCATTGTTCGACCTGCCCAGGCTTGTTTCCATCCTCCAAGAGCTTGTGCGAAAAGAACCCTTCAAGATCGACTGGCATGCGGAACACCTAACGAAGCCAGCGCAATCTATGGAGTGTGATCATCTATCGTGGATGAGTTATCTCTGCCAAAAGCCATTCGAACTACTTCAGCATTACTGATCCATTGTTCCCACCAGACTCGGGCAATGTCCTAAAGACATCGATGCTGGAACACAAATTTTTTTGACGCCGGCCGCGTCCAGGTTTCTGGCTTGTATGGAATGCACTGCAGCAGTGTAGCTCAACTCTCAAGGGATAAGCTGATGTCACACCTACGCCACATGTGATGCAGATTCACGGAATGTCCACTGGCCTTCCAAATCTGGATGGAAATAACGTCCTTGGAGAGACCACCGGGACTGACATAGCTGCCCAGATGGACGAATTTGTCTACTACCTCACTCGGCTCATCCTAAAGGATAAGGCTAGAGTTCGAGCCCACCAAATTTTGCAACAAGATTTCAGACTTTGCAGGTGTGAAGCGCATGCGGAGCCGTGATGCAGAATCGTTAAGATTACTTAATACTATTTGCATTGTGACGGCGTCCTCGTACTCGAGATCCATGAGCGAATAATTCGGGAGCACTTATACTCTACAGACGTTTGAGGCTGGTAGTGAATCTTTCCTAGTCGTATCAATGGCAAACTTAAACAGAAAAGGTGAAAGAGGACAGCCCTGCCTGACGCCACCTGATGTGGTGGGCTCATAAGGGAGCTTCCCATATATGTTCACACTTCCGCGGAAGTTAGCGTACAGCGCCTTAATGAGGGTCAGGAGGGGGACACCTTTACTCCACCGACAATATCATAATGTCTGACAGTCCAAAAAGTCGAGGGCAGCTTACAAGTCAAGGAAGACCACCAGTGTTGGTCGCTAGGAGCGATGCTGCTGTTCTAGAATCTGCCGAAGGGTTAAAATGTGACCGATGCATCCTCTTGCAGGATGGAACCCAGCTTTTTTTCACGGATGTCTCTCACTGTGTTCAGTCCATCTGCAAAGGATGAGACCAGAGAGCACCTTAGGTGCCACATCTACCAGGCGGACGGCACGGTGGTCTACAAACAAATTCCGTGTGCCCTTTTTGAGGATGGCAATAACTGTCAACATGCCCCATTCTACAGGCACTTTCTCTTCGTTCAACATCGCACAAATAAGCTTTGTCAGATGGGTCACCAGGGGTTCTCTGCCTTCATTGAATAGATCATCCGGCCACAGTGCATTTTAACGTTTCAGTACGGATATTTCGAACTTCATTTCTTCTTCCGGCAGGTGATCAAGGTTAACACTACATTCATCCGTATGCAGTTTCTCCACAGGTTGTTGCAGGAGGTCACCTTAACTGTTCTTTGGGGTGTTTGGCCGAGTTTCCAGTCGTTTTTGCAAGTACAGTAATGAGCAATCAATCCCACTGATCATTTCACTGACCTTTTCTATCCTAGAGCCGGTCGATCGTATCGGTTCATATAGGACGCGGCCGTTTACTGTAGCAGAAGCTTCCCCCATCTCTCGAGCTTTCAATATGGCGAGATTGCCCAAGTGGCTAGAGTGCGAATTTACTGACCGGAACGTCCATGGTTCGAATCAGACATCTGCCTCTCGACTTCCCCTGTCTAGGCTTGGGCAACCTGGCAGTATCCCAGCCCTCGTGCAACCTTCGGGTGGCATAGCAGTTAGGCACCGAAAGGGTGCTACAGCTCAACGAGCATTTCGATGTTCACCAGAGCTCTTGGTCTTTCCTTAGGCTCTTCACTATTTAGCGTTTGAGGGATTTGTGTGCGCCATCGTACTCGTTAACTGCTGGTATGGATCGCCTGGAATCAATCATGGATAGTGATTTCAACGATACCCAGTGGTCCTGTGGTCGAATCGGACAGACAGCAGCGAACGTCGCTAGCATAGCTCCTTTCACATACTTCATTTACGTGCTCGATGCCGGTACAGTATTGGTTTACTCTAGAGCATTGTTGAGCTTGCTCAGATCGATACTGCTGAGCTATGGTGGTTCTTCAAGCATGGTAGATTGGCAGAAACCGACATCGATTAGAAGTCAGATCTTGCAACGCCTCCACCTAATTGAAGGAGGTTCACAGGGTCCCATCCAGGGAGGCAAGCCATTCCGAGAGTACCTAAAATTTCTGTAGCCTATTTCGCATCCCTGTGCTAAGGCACTATGTCGCTAAGCGGCTCCAGTTGTTTCGAAAGTCGGTACTGCACAGAAATAGTTTATAGTCATCAGAGAAATGCAGCAGGGGTTCGCTGTTGTCCGTGAATCTCGATTCCGCCTCAAGACGTCCACCCAATTGGGTCTCAGTAGCAATAAGTCTACCCGATTCATATCTTCGAAAAACCACGGGGTCTTAACGCTTAGCCCACCACGACAAGGCGCTCTTTGGTGTCGGAATTATATTTTGTCATGGCATGAAAGAGATTGTCGGAGAATTTATGAGATACTATCACATATGTTGCCAAACGAACCACATATCGGCGAGTGTCAACGGGTAACAATTCAACAAGAGATGCCTCAACTCGACGGCTTAGAACACCGACCCCAGCAGAACCAGTCGCAACGGCCTCTGGATTTCCAAGGCTGCGCGGAAACTGACGCGAAGGTCAGCTGAAAAAACCCAACCAAACTTGGGTTTCAGACAGACAGAACATATCAAAAGAATGTGAGCCCGTTGTGCATACTCGAGCAGTCTGCCGTCTAGCTTGCTTCAATGTGAACGTTAAAGATGCGTTGGTTAGGCCATGTATTGTGTATGCCAAATCACCGCCTACTGAAGGGAGTGCTGTCTTTCGTGTCCGATTCAGATTGGCGGAATCAAAGAGGTGGCAAACCCTTCAGCTGGTAGAGAGGTATGAAAGAGATTATGAAACGTTTGGGCGCTGTCGGTGCTACTCGTCCACCAGGATGGGTGCCGCATGATCCCCACTCCATCTGGTTGCAGGTGACGCAAGATATCAAAAATAGTTCAGCCGTGACACCCTTTCGTTGTTTAACTGCCATGCCACCAGAAGGAAGCACGACGGCTGGGATACTGCCAAGTTGCCCAAGTCTAGACAGGGGAAGTCGACAGGCAGAGGTCGGGTTCGAACCACGGACCCACCGGTCAGTAGATTCGCGCTCTAACCTCTGAGCCATCTCGCCCCGCAAGATATAGCTGCTTATCGATGTCAATGGCGTTCCATCTAGAATGCACTAATGAGTGTCTGGAGGTGTGGGCACATCGGAATTATCAAGTGCCTTCCCAGTCCACTTTTTTCTTCACAATAAGGCTTTCAAATAAATCATGGTTGTACGACAGCGAAGCATCAATGTCGAACATTGAGGCTTCCATGCTGCAAGAAGAAATGAAGACCAAGAGAGCTCGGCGGTTAGCGCTCAAAGCTGCAAGCTCCGTGGTTCAAACTTGATCCTCACTTTGTGATGACTCCAGTTCGGGCTTAGACAGCCTGATAGTATCCCAGTCCTTATGCTTTATTCGAGTTGCATCGAAGCTATAGATCGGAAGGGTGCAGCAGCTAAGGGATTGTCGATATCATTACTTCGACTAGTGCTAAGATCCCCGTATTCAGATCCAAATCTTTTTCAGTATGAAGGTGATATCATGTGTGTCTTCCCCCGGATGATTCTTCACATTCCTCTCTAAATGCTCTGCATCAAGCTGCAAAAAGAGCCACCGTCCTCAAATAAGGCAGAAGGTCTCCAGCGGGTGCTTTATTTTCCTCCAAAACTTCAATTCCCTCCTTATCCTAATCTGCTGTTACAAATACACTGTCATGTTGACCGTTATGCTGGTTGTCATCAGCCAAACCTTTCTTCGAAATATTCCATCCATCACAGGAGTCAGAATTGTTTGACCGTGTATGAGCGATCTTCCGTCAGAGATACTCCCCTTCTGCTGCATGTTTTCCATGACCTGGGGGCCCTGGATGATTTTCCACAAAGATGAAGATGGAATTTACCATTAAACCAGAGGAAATACAGTGTGCTACTCATAAGTCCTCATCCAGTGCCCGGAGTTCCTCCCACATTATGGGTTATTTAATGAGAAGCATTGTTCGAAAAGGATTTAGCAATCATTATGATACCGGCTCTAGGGTCCGCACTGGAATTCTAAAGGAAGGCCGTTGTGGCCACCAGGCCCACGGGATCCATCACAGGATCATTTGCTCATTGGGTCATTTGCTCGTTGGAAAACGTTCGACGCCTACTTCGTCTCTTAGGCCATGCTAGTACAGGAGTTTGAGCAGCCGGCGTTTTTCTGTCATCAAGAACGAATCCAGAAAGTGGGGTCCAAAGTAGTGTCTAGCTTTCCAAGTGTGGAAAACATGGAGGGATTGAAATACTTGTACACACGTTAAGCTGAGGAATACATAAAAGGGATATTTCCCTATTGTTTCGCGGAGCATAACACGAGGGCGCCAGGTTGAGCCCTGTCAGTGCAGGAACCTTTGCTCTGCCATACTACCGTCGGCGATAATTAACTCCAGAAACCAATACTTATCGAATCAAAAATATTCGAGGGGACACTGAAGGCGCAACCTCGGACAAGGATCACCGGCGGTTGTCAACTCGGCAACATTTCATATCAACGCTGTAGCCCACGGTACACAAACCCCCATCCCAAACGGTAAACCTAGCGGTAAAACAGCGTGCAGCGGACTACCCGCTCTTTTCCACAATAAGTGATTGACTATCAACGGTGACAATGCATCACACTACCATTTGGTTTAAATGAGGGCAACTCACCTCAAGAAAGCCAAGATCGTCAAGAAAAGAACGCACATAGTTTATAATGCGCGATCTGGTAATGAAGCGCTGTCTAACTTCCTCGTTCATCATCAAATCCAAATAGCGTTGGCGGTATCGCGTTTCTTTATCTTTCACACCGTAGTGTAGGTGGGGCAGCTGGTAAAGACACGGCGCAAGAAGGACAAGTTCCTTAGGGAGTATGCTCAGCTCCCCAAGCTTTGACTTCCCTACAGCAAATAAACATGGATCTATGAAAACATTTACCTGGCTTTCCAATACAACCAACAATGTCTCCCATCCGCAACAGGTCGTTCACCTGATAAAAATCTTCTGGGGATTTGTAATCTTTGAGGTTCGCCATGATTTGCAGTCGCTTTTCATCCGATATGACATCATAAAAGATCAGTTTAGACCCCGCCTCACGCTTAGCATGTATTCTTCCTGAAAGTTTATAAGGATAGGACTTAATTCTCACCAGCAATGCTCACGGTCACATCATCGAGATGTTCACCAGGATTTAAATGAGAATACTTCTCTATGAATTTCCCGATAGAGATGGAAACGTGGAATTTGTGGGGATAGGCAGTTTTGTTCGACTTTTCCAGATCGGATATCATCGACTTGCGCAATTCATGGTAGCTCTATGAACAGTAACAAGAGGGAAAATTCCATACCGTTGCGTCCATGTCATCCGAAAGCTTATCCTTTTTCTCATGGGCACCACTAGGGGCGACAGACAATTGCTTCGCGGACCCTGGCATTTTGCATGCAAGCGTACCACTGATTCGCGTTATACTACCGACTGCAGCCCGCTGGAACGCCACCTGCATGCGACTAAGGAGCCGCGCCGCACTCTTTCAAGTTGTGCGCCCACTGAATCGGTTCAACAAGTTCAATGATTCACGGATTCACGGATTGATACAGCCCGCTGGACACCTGCATGCGACTAAGGAGCCGCGCCGCACTCTTTCAAGTTGTGCGCCCACTGAATCGGTTCAACAAGTTCAATGATTGATTCATTCACGGATTGATACA